CTGCCGGCAGAGAATGTGTGGCGAGATGACCACACCGCTTACTCTTCGCGTTTTGCAGCCATAGTTGCACAAGGGGTATCTATGGCACCAGACTTGTTGGTGGGTTACTATTTAGCTAATCTACCAGATGACATATACCGCAAGGTGACCCGCGGTGGAACGAGGAAATTCACCGACTGGCAGGACGCTGCGGCAGCACTGGCTGCTACTGCGGCACATGGAAGGATTCATGTGAAGAGCGCCTCCGATTCCAAAGGGACTTAGAGGACGCCAAGCGTAGATGGGCTCAAGGTGAACGAGAGCAGGGTCTACAGAGGGAACGGGCAAGCAGGAGTGTTAGGGGTAATGCTAATACGGGATCCCTGTGTTACGAGTGCAGAGGAAAGGGGCATGTGAGCAGGTACTGTCCGCTCCGCATAGGCGTGACACGACGGAATGGGGAAATGCGTTCCAGATGTGGGGGATGGGATCACTACGGTAGAGACTGTCCTACGCCGGCTCGGCCTAGAGAGGAGCCCGTAAGGCAGCCCAGACAGCAGCAAGTGTGTCCTCAAGGTGACAAATCGAGGCATTTAAACGATCGAGCCTAGTCGTTCAGGGAGACGAGCGTACTAGGCGAACTATAAGGGGCAAAGGTACAATGTGCGCCGTAGCGACGGGGCCTAACCCCATCCCAGTCTCCCCATATTGGAGCAAGAAGTTGCCTGGTAGAGAGGAGAAGGAGAATGCCAAGGGTCCGGACTTGGGAGAGAACCAGCAACCCTTGGCAATACAGTCTCACGCCGGGACAACGTTGCTAATTGAAGAAGGACATACGAGTAAAAGGGACCACCGCAGCGAGCTACACAGCGATGCGGGGATGCGTGAGACGATAGGACACGCGGCACTGTCACCGGAGGTGGCAACTGCGCGCGACCCGCCGGCAGTCCCACTGCCAGATGGGGCTGGGTGCCGACGGGAGGCTTTCGTTGGCAACAGATTTACGAGAGGTCGTATTAGTCAGTCTGGAGACTGCCCTCAGCGTAGGGTGGCGGGACGGTCCGAAGGGGACCTCACGCAAGACACAAGCGTCGTGCTGCCACAG